CCCGCGACATCGACCGGCAAGCGGTATGCGGATCTCGCCAGCAAGGCCCCTGCAACAGCCCCCGTTAGCGCAGCTAGCTCCGGTGCCTGGACTACCGTGGGCGCCGGCGGCAAGCCCAAGGCCCCCCCTGCCGCACCGTCGGGTCCCCGCGCTGCCAGCGGTAATATTCCATTGGCCGCATCGCCCGCGAAGCCCCGGGCCGTACCCATTGCCAGTCCCCGACCCGTGGCCGTCATTAGCGCCCCGCCGTCCAACGCCAACCGCGCTCTGGAGGAGTTCACCAAATGGGCCAAGTTGTCTTTGGGTAAAGGGCTGAACAGCAATATCAATGGTGAGTTCTACATCTACGGAGTGATCGGTTGTGATTGAGTAAACAACTAATGTGGTTTTAGTGGATGACTTCGTGCAACAATTGCTCCTCTTGCCCGCCGAGGCGGAGATCATCTCGGACTCGGTGTATGCCAACTCGCAGACGCTGGATGGTCGGCGATTTGCGGACGAGTTCATTCGCCGTCGCAAGCTAGCGGACAAGGGCATTATTGACCCGGTGGCCCCCAGCGCCCTTGCGGATCAGAAGAACGCTGCCGGAGGCGGATGGAGTGAAGTGGCCAAGAAGGGGTCGTCCAATGCGCACCGCGAAGAAGAGAGCACCAACGCAGCGTTCAAGGTGGTGGCCCCCCGTAAGAAGGGCAAGCGGTGAATGATGAGCCTGTAGGAGGGCCTGTGTGATGTCGAGAATACTTGATGGACTCGGTATTCCTGTTGTTTCTGAGTGTAGATATGAGATCTACGGCCTATTTGGGTATAACGCGTCGTCCGCGGTTGGGCTTGTCTTTTGCTCGTGTAATCTATTAGGATAGATCGTCAATACCTCTCTATCAAGTGAGCCAAGTGCGTCCTGTGGCGCTTGTGAGAGTTTCTCATTGAGTGTCCACAGAATGATTATGTCCCGTGGTGAGGTTCAAGATCCGACGATATCCGCAGTACCACGATGGTGCTACCACCGACACACAATTCATGGTAACCGATCTTATCAACTGAGCTGAACTGATTTGTCAGTGTGCAAGAGTCGGTGTACTAGTAACTATAACTATCTATCTCTTGGCGTCAGAAAGGGCGTGGGTGTGGATGACTCACGGGTGCGTTCCTCGTTTTCGTATGGAGTTGTTTATCTTCTGTCATCCTCCACTGTTGTCAGCAATTCCTTTTTCAATTCTCTCAATCAAGAGTCAAGACAACCATAGCGATTCTTTCCTGAACAACATGTCTTCTCCCGCGCCCTTTGGTGCCTCTATGGCCAAAACCCACTTTCTGTTTGACGCCGACTTCAAAAATCTCAACCATGGCAGGTTCCCTCGGCACAGAGTTCATTGACCTGACTAACATTTACACAGGCTCGTTCGGCACATATCCCATTTCAGTGCAAACAGCTCTGCGGCAATTTCAGTCTCAAATCGAGGCCCGTCCGGACCCGTTCATCCGGCACGTCCAGCCGCAACTGATAGACGAGTCTCGCCGCGCCGTGGCCGCGCTGCTCAATGTGCCCACCAACGAGTGCGTGTTCGTCAAGAATGCCTCGACGGGCGTCAACACCGTCCTGCGCAACCTCGATTTCAAGCAGGGCGATGTGGTGGTGTATTTTGACACCGTCTACGGCGCTGTCGAGAAGACCCTCGTCTCGCTAACTGAGACCACTCCGCTGCAGCTGCGGAAGGTCCGGTACCAGTTGCCCATCAGCCATGACGAGCTCGTGCGGAAATTCGGGGAGGTCGTGGCGAAGGCGAAGGCGGACGGACTGAAGGTCCGTGTTGCCATTTTTGATACAATCGTCAGTATGCCTGGTGTGCGGTTCCCGTTTGAGCGGTTGATCGAGGCGTGTCGCGCCGAGGGCATCTTGAGTGTTGTGGACGGGGCGCATGGCATCGGCCAGATCCCCCTGGATCTGGGGGCTTTGCAGCCGGATTTCCTCACGAGTAATTGTCACAAGTGAGTTGCCTCAGGTTTTGATTTTGACTTGTTCCCTAATATGATCAGGTGGCTGTATACACCCCGGGGCAGCGCCGTCCTCTACGTCCCCCTTCGCAACCAACATCTCATCCGGACTACTCTCCCCACCTCCTGGGGCTTCATCCCAGCCCCGGACTCCCCCGCCACCGCGACCTCGCCCCTGCGTAGCAGCTCGGGCAAGTCCGCCTTCGAGGAGCTCTTCGAGTTTGTCGCGACCACCGACGACACGGCCTACCTGTGTGTTCCGGCGGCGCTGAAGTTCCGCTCCCAGGTCTGCGGCGGAGAGGACCGCATCTACACTTACCTGGAGAAGTTGGCCCGGGAGGCCGGGGACATTGTTGCCGCGGCGCTGGGCACGGAGGTGATGCAGGAGCCGGGCTTGAAGCCGGGAGAGGTCAGCCAGCTCCGGCGCTGTGCCATGGCGACCGTGCGGCTGCCGTTTGCCGTGTCTGGTGGTGAACAGGGTCCGAACACGGCCACGGCTCGATTGACGCTGCAGGCTGCTCAGGCCGCGGAGGTTGCTGGGGAGATGCAGAAGGCGCTGGCGCGGGACTATGGGACCTTTGTGCCTGTGTTTGCACATGGCGGGTGGTTGTGGACCCGGCTGAGTGCGCAGGTTTACCTGGAGAAGAGCGATTTCGAGTGGGTTGGTGGTGTGCTAGCGGAGCTATGCAACAAGGTGGTGAGGAAGTTTGCCGAGCCAAAGCTGTGATATTTCCCCTACGTGTGTACATACTTTTTAGGAATATCTACATGAACTGCTGCGTCAGGAACTGCTTCAGGAACGGCTGTACACCCTTCGCCCATCAAAGTATGTCTCGCACACCGAGGCCTCGAGCAGCTTCTCGGCGTCCCACTCCATCTCCACGACGGCAAAATCCGCCTTCTTCCCGACCTCCAGACTGCCCGTGAAGCCATCCGCAAAGCACGAATACGCCGAGCCGGCGGTCGCCGCCGAGACCGCCTGCAGCAGCGACAGCTTGAACTGCGGGTTCACCGTGGCTGTGGAGTCCGGCTCCCTCGCCGACCGCCGCGTCGTCGCCGTATACAGATTCCTCAGCGGCAGATGCGGCGCCGTCGGCGAGTCCGTCCCAATGGCCAGCGGCGCCCGGTGGGCTGCAAACTCGGCATAGGCAAAGGCGCGCGCACACCGCTCCTCACCCAGCAGCCGCGGCCATGCCCGCAGAATCGCCGGGTCCGCATGCACCGGCTGCACCGAGGCCGTGATCCCCAGCTGGCCCAGCCGCGCCGCGTCCTCGGGCGCCGTCAGCTCCAGATGCTCGATGCGATGGCGCCGGCCGGGCGTGCCCACCGCCGCCAGCGTGTCGATCGCCAGCCGCACCGTCGCGTCGCCGATCGCATGCAGCGCGCACTGCAGGCCCGCGGCGTCCGCCTTGGCCACTACCGCCCGCAGCATGTCGGCCGGCCACAGCGGCTCGCAGTTCACCTCTCCATCTCCATCGGTAGCTTGAGCTTGCGCAGCATACGGCTGCAGCAGCGCGGCCGTGCACGCATCCACCACCCCGTCGCAAATCACCTTGATCCCCGCGATGCGGAAATCCGGCGACGAGCGCGCATTGTACACCGCATGCAGCTCGATCGCCCGGTCCACCTGCGCCAGACACTCGGCCACCGTCGCCGCCGGCGTGATGATCCAATGCGCCGCCAGCCGCAGCGGCACCTGCTCGTGCTCCCGCAGCGCCAGCATCGTCCCCCACACGTTCTCGTCCGTCGCCATCTCCACCACCCCCGTGTACCCGGCCGCATTGTACGCGGCCACCGCACTCCGCACAAACTCCATCTTCTCCTCCGCCGTCGCAACCCTCGCCACATGCGGCCATACGATATTCACCGCCGCCGCCTCGGAAAGTAACCCGCTCGGCTGCCCGTCCGGGCCGCGGTGGATGATCCCGCCCGCGGGATCGGGCGTGTCCGCGACGCCTAGCTCGCGCAGCGCGGCGGTATTGCACCACGCGCTGTGCAGGTCCTTCGAGTCGATGAAGATGGGCCGCGGGTCGAGGTCGTCGAGCATGCTGGCCAGCGCCTGGCCGTCGGTCATGGCGTGCATCCAGCCGCGGCAGAAGAGGCGGGGGGCGTGCGGGCGCTGTGCGGCGGCGGTCTTGATGGTCGCGCGGATGTCGGAGAGAGATTTGCAGTGTCCGAGGTCGATTTTGGAGAGCCCCGCGCCGAAGAGGAGGAGGTGCATGTGTCTTTTGTCTTTTGTTAGTGGCGGGACTTGAGCGTTCCGTAGCGTAGCGTCGCATTCTTATAGTAGATCAGGATGGGAACGGGGTGGACATGACATACCCGTCGATGAACCCCGGGATGACGGTTCGCCGTTGCAGGTCTACGATCCTGACGCCTGCTGCTTGTTTTGCTTGTGCGACGGGCGAGTCGGTTTCGGCGCCTATGTGTGATATCTTGTCGTCCTCGACGACCATGCAGCCCAGCACGGGCTCGGATTGCGAGCCCCCGTTGCCTCGGACGATGAGGCCATTGGTGAAGACGGTTCTCATTCTGTGGGATGATGATGGGGGGAATTACAGTAATATATGAAAGGAATATGTGAAAGAAAGACGCTCGTATATATAGTCTCCTAGGAGCTATGTCCAAGCTATGTCTTGCACAAGGCGTGGGCGGGGGCGGGGCGGACAGTGGAGCTTCATGCTGTGGAGAATAAGTTTTTGGAGAAACCTAACTCAAGGTTATTGTTTACTATTTGTGTTCAGTCGAAGGATTGATTGAGATTGTGATGCTGGGAGTCGCTTGTGGCAATAGACATTCTGGCGGGATTGGATGGTGCTGAGGATATATTCAGCAATGCTGGATTCGTTATTTACATCACCATATGGGCCCATGCTCATCTCATGCTCATGCTAATCAAGCCCAGGATAAGAATAAGAAAAATAATCACCAGTCAGACGCAATGTACCCAGGAAGCCGTAGCCTATGAAGACTCAACCCAAAGTCGGATGCTTTCATGAAGGCAGCGATTAGCTGCCACCAAAATGACTTCTAACCCACCCGGTAAACCCTCCGCTGCCGCTACCCTCGTTGTGACCGAATTGGCCTTGGTTATGTTCGTTGCCTTCGTTGCGACTCGATTGTTCTTGATTATGCTCGTTTGATTCTGTAGTGTTCCACGACGGATGTTCGCCCCATGTAGGAGGGGCCTGTCCGCTATGCTGAGTTGGACCACTACTACGACGGCGCTCAGGAGATGAAGGTTCAGGACTGTCGCTAATGACAACCGGATCCTGACTGGTTCCTTGAGCCCTGTGCATCGGTCAGTATCACTATTGACAACCCTTCGAAAAAAACACCTACTGTCGGGTATCGATCCCCCTGCGACAATGGGGACATGTGTTATGTTGGCTTAACCAGGCTTCAATGCAGGGATAATGAAACCAGTGTTTGCAAGGCAAGACTGTGACCTCCGCGCCTAATTCGACTTGCTCCATGCAAATCGAGCACTCTGCCTTGCCATCGCTCCCTAGCATCTCCTCGTCGACCTTTTTCTTCGGCAGGGCCTGAATAGCGCTTTCAGGAGCCGGGGGAGCCCCTGTTCGATTGATATTCTGGTCGATCAACTGCGAGATAACCCGGTCCAGTTCCTCCTGCGAGTACACCGCATCTCCGTGTCGGTCAAAGTTGAGCAGAGTAGACAGCATGGCTAGAGGATTCGGACCAGTCATCACACGCACTCCTCCCCCTGCCCCACCCCCAAAGTCGGCACGAAACAGTTCGAGGATGCTATCAAGCAAGTCAGCCATGGACAAGTGAACAGCTGAGAGAAAATGGCTACGTACTCGCCCAGGGTGCCCAAAGGTGGCGCCATCGGCTGCGGACCATCCGCATCTCGCGCAAATAGCCTGCCAGTTGCACGGAATTCGGGCGATTCGCTCCCCGCACGATTCTCGTCGGCGTCTGCCTCATTTCCCTCTCCTGCGGCGTTCCGATTTTGGGTTTGATTCTGATTCTGGCCTTGCTGGTAGGTGTCGGCCAACCCGTGGAAAATAGTATCCAAACTGCGCACCACCGGCATCAACGGGTCTATCTGGAATTGTCTTTGGTCCATGGATCGTCCCATGCGGAAGCCGCCACCACCTAAAGTGGCTGTGGTAGTTGTGAAAGTAAACCGGCCATCGGGGGACCTATATGTACGACGTGAGAAACCCGGCCGCCATGCATTGTCGTCTCCTCCATGGTCCTCTTCATTCGCCCAAGGGTTGTGATCGGCCCAAGGGTTGACGTTGGGTTGATTATTCTCTTCGCGGGGTGGGGAGTCATTCGCGGGTCGAGCGGAGGGGTCTTCTGTATCGGGCGGGATTTCAATCTGATATCGATGATATCAGCAAAGATCCGAGACAGAGAGCAAGTGACTGAGGTACGTACAATCTCTGTAAAATCGGACTGACAGTGAGGACAGTCCAACCCATTAGCAGCATTTTTCAGCCAAACCCCACCACACGCATGGCAGAACATGCGGTCCCCCGCATCAGCCATAGCAACGTCGTCCATGACGGTGAATGAGACGAGAAGGAAGAAGAGTCTAACTGATACCGAGAAGATTCCGAGGAAGTAACTAAGTAAGTAGTAGCAACGATGGAAAGAGTACCAGCAGGTCAGACAATTGGAAGCTCGCGTGTCTTATTCCTTAGGATCTCTGAATCAACCAGAAACATATTGACAGCAGTGTATTGTTTTCTTCACCAGGAGAAGCAATTCATTATCTCCATGAGAATGACCTGATAGTAAATGATAATGGAAGAAGAGCAAATGAAAGCAAAGGTGTAGCAAAAGATGAGGCCGAGGAAGAAGGGTAGTGGAGCACGTCAGACGAACAAACAAGCCGATGCCCGGCGGCGGATGACGTTGACTGCTGATTCACCGAGTGGCGGACTGGCAGCCTCACATTCCCAGAGACAGCCACATTCTAGGCACTTGATTATTGGATCGGATTCAGGTACCAAGACAGACCACAGACAGCAAACTGTACATATACTTCATCCAGCAACTCTCGAAGGATTTAAAAATATCCCAGTGGTCCTGCGCTCAAACAACAAACAAACGCCTCATATGCTAAAAAAAGCCCGGACAAAAGAGGAGGAGAACCATGATATATACACGACTTTCAAAACCAAGAGCCAGCCCCATTCACCGTCTCTTTGCGGCACCCTTGAAGATAAGACCACCTACGACTCCTGCCGCTAGAGCCAGGCCTCCCACGATGGCGATGCCCATCAGACCCTCTTTGGAGACCTTGTCGTCAATCAGCGAGCCGAGGCTGGCAGCTTGCAGGTTCCCCGGCTCCTTCTCAAGGAGAAGATCATTGTATCGCCGTGCTTCGCCGTAGTTTCCGAGCTTGTAGTTTCCCAAAGCCAAGTAGTAGAGGCATTCGCGTCGTCGCTCTGGGGATGCGCGGAAGATTTCCGATAGAAGACGGACTCCCTCTTGTTGGTCCGCCCGAGCGTGGGATTTGATCAAGCCCTATCTTGTCAGCTGGTTGGCTAGAAACACAATAGTAGCCGGCATACCCATGCGTAGTTGAATTTCGTCTGGATTCCAACATAATCCCCCTCCTTCTCGTACTGGGCCCGCAAAACTTGGAGCTCTGCTGGTTTCAACGGACTGGAATCATGTAAATTTAGCGAGGGCATGACGTTCGAGAGCCGGATATTGCTAACCTTTCAGCATCCGCAGCATCTAAGGAAGCGAAGGTGGTCAGTTTGATATACTCCGGTAAAGTGACTGTAGCCTGGACAAGACATACAAGGTAGGTTGGATCCCATCGTGTGGTGTAGTGATATTGGTAAGAGTGTTAGACCCGGTTATAGGTAAGGAACTGGGTATATTGCTATAACAGCAGAACAGAAACTCCAACTGAGAGATGATTTTCAACTGAGTAAAGAAGCATCTAGTCTAGCCCATCTCCATCAAGCAGGACCATCACAATGTTTCGTCACCCACCAACATGTGGCTGTGTCAGCACAAGTGTGGCGTTGTGGCTGTTGCTCCCCCAACGGGAACCATCAACAGTCCATGATCGCAATACGCCATGACACTTCAAAAGCACCAAACGACGGGCTGTGACATTATTGTCCATCATAAAAATGTTGCTCGACGAGGACCCCGCGACAGTATGTTTTGGTATTTGTTTCTCTCCGGACTAAGACTAACAAACACAGCTCATCCACCACACCATCGGCAACTTCAATATCCAACCGGACAAACAAGCTGTCACCCGCATCAATGACTCCCTATCTACCTTGCAACAATCTCGCGAGCTTCGCATGCGCGATGCCGAGTCGGCGCTCCGTAAACTTTCTCGCAACCTGCACGCCCTGACCGCGCAACATGAGGAGGCCGTGTCCGCACACGACTCGGCAAAGCACGCCGCGCAGATGGTTGAACTCGACACGAAGAAATTCCGGATCGCCAAAGCCGCAACAGAGCTTGAGATCGAGAGCGAGAGGCTGGAAGGCGAGCTGGAAATGCTCAAGGAGAGACTGGCGGAGCTGGAAGCGCAGGGACTCGAGGGCGATGAAGCTACGCGGAGAGAGAGGGAGGCCGATGATGCGACTATGTGGGTGGTGCTCCGTTATTTTACTGGAAAGTACTGACCGATTATGCGACAGACTTCGCCTCAAGATCTACCGGTCTTTGGGCATTGATATCGAGGCGGACGACGCCGGGAACTTCGGCAAGGCTGTTATTCGCAACAGTCGCAAGGGAGACGTTCATGTGGTCAATATGGACCCCAAGTTCTCCCGTTTCTTCTATGCCAATTACTTTTGGTCAACCATGCAGGGCTGAGTTGTTGTGCAATTTGGTTACGGCGTTTGGTGCTTTGAGAGGACTCCGGCAGGTGGATCTCAGGCGTACAGTTTCCGAGTTGTGGGATATAATGACGCGATGCTTGTGATTTTAATTTCTGTATTTTGCCTTCTGCCGCTTGATATACCCAGGGATTCGTTTGTACTCGTCAATCCGATATACTGTTCTTCAAACCGTGGCCAGTGACTAGATCGCACCTCGACACAGTCGAGCAGATGAGATCATGCTAACTTCCACTGTCCTCCGCAGGCGTTTGTAGCCTGTTGCGCAGCTGCTGCAGTACCTTGGCCCTATCTGCCTCGGTCAAAGTAGTGCACGTACCAGCTCCTAACAAGAGCGGCTTCTCATCAGGATACAGCTGCTGTACAAGATCCAATAATTCTCCTCTACGCGACCCTGTCACCTCAGTGCCCGAATCCCACAATCGAAGCCACTCATCCTGCCGTTGCATCATCAGTTCCTCGGCCTGGTCCATAGAAGACAATTCAGACCCATCCCAGGTCAAACTGATCCTCCTGCCCGACTCACCCCCATACACCATCTCCACCCCCAACGCCCCTAAACCTAGCTCCTCAGCGCAACTATTCCACAGCGCCTGCTGCAGCTCCCCGTTCCGCTCAACCATCATCCACAGAAGCGGGTATGCACTTCGCGCCATCGCATCCCGGACCCCCTTCGTCGCCTCCCGAGGGCCAACCAGAACTCCAATCTTCGTCCCCGTGCGCCATCCCACAGGCGACTGGCGGAACGTCCCTTCGAGCTCCCGGACGAGATTCGGCCCCAGTTTGGTTTTGAGGGCCTTGCACTGCACGAAGACGCGCAGCGGGTGTTCGTGTTGCGGGAGGTGCCATGTGCCTACGAGGTCGATGCCGGCATCGGCGCGGCCGCCGACTCGGTGGAGGGAGAAGGCGAAGCGCCGGAGGGTTTGCTGGACTGTGTATTCGTAGTGCGTGCCTATGTAGGTTGTGCTTGTCGTGGGGAGAGGTGTCCGCTCTGCGTAGGCGAGGAAAGATGCGAGGTCATTGTGGTGTTGCGACGGCGATGGGGGAGGAGAAGGGAGCTTGAAAAGCCGGCGAGTGAAGGGTTCGAGCTGGTGATGACATGGACTAGCTGAGAAATTGCGCCGGAAGAGTCTGGTCAGATGATGGATCCGAGTCATATCAAGTCATGCCGACGGTTGATTTTTGATTGACTTGTGCTGGCGAAGCTAAGGAAACCATCTCCGTTCTGACCGCATCACCGCTTTGGCTTCTCCGCATCACGCTCATTCTCCAACTATCTTCTCAATCTCGCCCTCACATAACAATCTTTTCCTTAGTGGCTTCTACTCCCCTACCTACACCTCACTGCAATTTACTTATCGTTCACCAACTGCCAAAATGGCCGACATCCTAACCCAGCTCCAAACCTGCCTAGACCAGGTACCTCACCCATCCACCTCCATCCCTCAATTTAAAACCACCAACCTAACCCTCAACTCACAGCTCGCAACCCAATTCTACGCCACAATAGGCTACCTAAGTACCTACCACGACAACTCCCCCGCAATCCCACCCGCGGACGTCCCAGACGCTGCCCCAGCCCTCGCCAAAATCCCCAAGAACTCCACCGCGCCCCCAGTCCCCGCCGGCGCACCGGTCCCCGCGCAGTTCCAGGCCTCCCCTCCAGCCCAGAATCCCGCGCATGGCGCCGCAGGCGCAGGCACAAGCGTAGGCGAGGGCGGCCAGACGCCCGGCCCAGCAGCAGACCCGAACCTGCCGGCGCCGGACAGCCCGCGGACGTTTGCGAGTCGGCAGCGGGAGCTAGCGCGGGATCTCATCATCAAGGAGCAGCAGATCGAGTATTTGATTTCGGTGTTGCCGGGAATCGACAGCTCCGAGGCGGAGCAGGAGAAGTGTATTCGGGAGTTGGAGAGTGAGTTGAGACGGGTCGAGGAGGAGCGGGAATTGAAGATGAGGGAGCTGAAGAGGTTGAGGAGGACACTGGAGAATGTGCTGAGGGCGGTTGAGACTGGGATATATGGAGATCGGGCGCTACTTGAGAGATATTCTTGATGTCTTGATGTCTTGCTGTCGTTGGCCTCTTCCACGCTGGATGGACAACATTGGGAAATTCTATCCGGAGCGCTCTACGCCATACGCATGTGTACCAATATCGATAATGATAAGATGTATGATTAAACGCTAGCATATCAAAAATTGCATGTCTTTTCCCGCGCCCGTCCGTCCAGTGTATACGCATAAGGAACCCCAGCACTAAATCAGAAAAATGACCATTACCATGAATTGTGGACTCGCGTCCAGCCGTCTTGTGTAGCGTCCTGTATACCCTTCCCTCAGGGTGACGCGTCTATGCGTCTGCAGAATGGTGTGTAGCTTCCTTTGCATGGCGTAGATGCAAGACTCAGAAAAACCGGAAATGCAAAGAGCTGAAAGACCGCGGCAAAAGAAATATGAAACTAAGCCCAGGGAAACCGGCCCAACGCCAAAATCAAATGTTCGGGTATCAAAATCCATTCCTCCATGCTGTCCCAGTGAAGATAAGTCGGGGTAAAACGAAGAGAAAGCAAAATACGAATCACAAAGGCAAGAACGTCATTTGAAGAGAGTTCTATATTCTCTCATCCGCTGCTCCTGAACGTCTTTCTTGTCAAGCTTGCCTCGATTCATGCTCATGTCTGCCAACTGCTGCTTCTTCTTGGCAAGCTCGAAAATCTTCTCCTCTATACTCCCCTTCATGATAAATTGGACCGTAGTCACTTCGCGCGTTTGACCCAGTCGGTGCACCCGATCGATTGCTTGGGCCACAGCTGCAGGATTATATTGAGGTTCCATGACATACACTTTCGAAGCAGATGTCAAGTTCAATCCGACACCACCAGCACCGATCGTTGCTAGCAAGATAGTGGTGTTGTCGTTGGTATGGAAGTCCTCTAGAGCTCTGTTACGAGCTGCGAGCGACATTGTCCCGTCTAAGCGAGTGAATCCCGTCATGCCATGATCTTTCAACGCAATCTCGATCAAGTCAAGATGAGAGGTCCAGGCCGAGAATACCACGCTCTTGATAGGGGGCTCAATGTTCAGTCTCTTGCTCTCCTCTGCAGATTCCGCGAGATGAGCTAGAAGCGCCTTGGTCTTCGTGTGTGGTCCTTCATACTCGCCAAGGGTTTTGGATTGCCTTCGGCTCTGCTTGGCTTGTTCATGCTCCGTCAAGTACTCCTGAAGCTCTTCGGCAGTGATGGTCGAATACGAAACAGGAATCCAGCCATCACAAACCTGGCATTTCATTGTATTCGTAGGTTCGACTTGACCATCAAAAGCCTGTTTCCACCCGGAGAAGCAGTCCGGGCAGAGGACATCAAAGCATGGTAGCACTATGGCCATTGGAGCTTTCGGATCTGTCACACCAGTGTCTGATCCGGGCTCTTCCAAGCGCTTGCCACACATGGCACACGCATCGGCTGACGATTCCTGCATCAGATTGAACATCTCGTACGCCTTCCTGTCAATCACCCCCGCAGATTCGCCCGTTCCTTCTTCGAGATCAATTGCGTCCTGCACGCTGATTCCTTTGATCCGTTGACGATCATCGCTGTCGAGAAGCTCTTTGCCGTGTGCACTGATTTGTCGCAAAATCATCATTGCTTTGAGAATATGGTGGTACATTCGTCCTTTCATCTTCATCTTGTCCTCTCCTGCAATCACTCTCATCATGACATTTGATTCCTTCCGGAAGAATTCATGCAGTTGCTTCTCCTTTTCAGAGAACTCGAGCGTGACAATCTTGTCGTGCCGAGGAGGAATGTCGATCTTATCTTTGACCCGACGTAGAGTAAAAGAGTCAACGAGCACACGCAAGCTCGCGAGAACCGTCGCGTCACCTGTCTTGAATCGACTGAGAATATGCATGCCAAATCGGGCTCGATCATCGTAGGGGAACAATCCAAGAAACTTGG